TGGGAAATTTGGGGGTGGTATCTATGGCTCTGAAAAAGGAACAGTTCAGTGGGCTGTTGAATAAGATTTAAGTTGTCCAGCTACAGAAACAGCAAGGTACTAGATGACTCCTCAGACCAGGAATTTATCTTCAAGATGCAGTAAAGGTCATTATTGATTTGGGGAAAACAAAGCAAGCAAAAAGACAAGGCACAGAATGGGAGGCTGTGTTTGCAAATCAAGTATCTGATAAGGCTCCATCATCCAGAATGCACAAAAAAACTCTTACAATTTAACAATCAGATTTGCATTTTAGGAACAGACCTCTATCTGCTGGAAGGAGGGAGCGAGCCCAGAGCCTGTGGAAAAGGGAGGCATCACTCAGTGCTCTGGGCAGAAGAGGTGAGGTCTGCGCCAAACAGTACGGAAGATTAAAAAAAAGACCTGGTGGACTCAACTGACACTGATTTCACATTTAGGAGACAGCGCAGGAAAGAAGGATGAGGACTGACTGGTGGTGTGAGGTTTCATTTCCTGCATACTAGTGCATACCAGTGAGGCTGGATGCCAAGAAAGCTCTATCTATCAGGAAGGAAAAAGGAGGGAGATTCCTATTTTTGCCTGGACAGAACTGCTGTGGGTGGGGGAAGTGAGTGGCCGCCTCGATAAATAGGGAGCGGACCAGTCCCAACCCACACACGGACCCCCAGCTCACTCATTCATTCACCTGGCCCACAGCTCTGGCCTCAGAACTCTGCCACAGCCATGACTCAGTCGCTGCCTCTGAACCTCCTTGTCTTGGTGCTGGCCTTCTGCATCCCCCAGACCCAAGGTACCAAAGAGAGGGTTGCCTGGGATGGGGGCAAGGGGTTGGAGAGGTCTGGGTGGGACTCTACAAGCAGCCCCTGGCTACTGTGGACCCTACCCTGCAGGCAATGATGGAGGAGCACAGGACTGTTGCCTCAGGTACAGCCTCAGGAAGATTCCTGCCCACGTTGTCCGCAGCTACCGGAAGCAGGAGCCAAGCTTGGGCTGCCCCATCTCGGCAATCCTGTGAGTGGGTGCGAGGGGCTGGCTGCCGGCATCAGCTAAGTGGGCAGGGCTCTGTAGGCAAAGCTAACACAGGCTCCATCACCCCCAGGTTCTCACCTCGGAAGCGCTCTCTACCAGAGCTCTGTGCCGACCCTAAGATGGACTGGGTGCAGCAGCTGATGCAGCGCCTGGACAAGACGCCAGCCCAGCGGAAACAACCCCGGGGCTGTAAGGACAAGGCTGGGTCCAAGCCCGGCAAGAAAGGGAAAGTCTCCAAAGGCTGTAAGAGGTGAAGAAGGTGAAAAAATGGTGGGGG